TGCTGCTGGCACTGGCGGCAGCTGCGCGTCAGGCTATGGAGAGAAGTGGCGGGGCTGAGCACGGGCAGGGGCGCGGGGAGCCGGGTGCGGGGCCCCTTCGGACCACGGACCTACCTGGGAAGCCAGCTGCCCGCTGCCGGAGAACACGGTGGTCAGACCCTTGCTCTGAGGCGTGGGCTTCAGGCTCTTGCCAGCCTTGATCTCAGCCAGCAGCTCCGCGTTGTCACCGGTCGGGGTCATCATGTTGAAAGACTTGGTGCCTGGGGGAGGCAGGAGAGGAGGCGCTGGCAAGGGGTGGGGTGGGGGCCGGTGGGAACCTGCCCTTCCGCTGTCCCCTCCCCAAGTCAGGAGGCGATCGACCGGAGCCTCCCCTCGGGCCCAGAGGGCAGCATTCCAGATCCCAAGCCTGGCGGGTGGCTTGGCTCTCGGGGACCCCAGAGCCGGATCCTTCGCTGGAAGTCCTGCACCCCCACCCGTCTCCCAGCCCTACTCACGCTGGGGCGTGGGGCCCCCACCTGGAGGCCCCTGGGAGTCCATGATGGCTCGTGGGCTGGCTCTGGGGACTTGAGTGAACGTCTCCACCCGGGCATTGACTGCTTAGCTCCCAAACACTACCTGGGACCAGCCCCCCGACCTTTGTCCCCCGGTTCCCTGGCTCCACTGGCCAGGGTGGAGTCTGCCTCCGGCCCTCTCTGCATCAGCAGAGCCCAGTGACCCTTGGACTGAGTCGCCTGAGCCTCTCTGGCCATTCGGACTAGGAACCCTGGATACCACAGCCCAGCCAGCCCCGCCCCAAACCCACAGACAGTCGCGTGCAGACACACTGGGTGCAAGCCCGGAGCACACGTATGGCAAAGCGCTTCTCAGCTCTCAGCTCTGGGGACCGGGACAGCGGAGCCCTTCCTGAGGACACAGAGCCTGCCGCCCCGCCGGAAGGGGGGCCAGGCGGGGAGCATGCAAATGCCCAGCGGGAGTTTGCATGTTCCGGGAGGCCAGCGGAGGTGACTGGGTGTGGGGAGGGCTGACTTCAGAGCCCAAGGATGGGGTCTGGGCTGGGTGAGGGGGACAGGCCAGCAGCTCCTGGCCGCCCTCGGTGGTGAGTCCCAGAGCACAGTGCGGGCAGGAGGAAAAAGGGGAAGGTATGGGGCCAGCCCCATCAGCCAGGCCAAGAATTTGTATATGTGGGTGTGGTGAGGGGAAGGGGACAGGTCGGGGGGCAGAGGACCCTCGCCAGCCACCGGCCCCTGGCTCTGCCCGTTCCCCAAGTCCCTCATCCCTGGGGCCTCGCTTTCCCTGAGCGTTTGCTTTGTCCCCCAACCCCGGCCTCAGCGCCTCAGCGGGAGCATGAACGCAGCTACTCACTCTTCCTGTGCCTCAGGACTCTCACTTCTAGAGCCGAGAGGAGAGAAGTGACAGTGGAGTTAGAAGAGGGAGGGGCTGGGGTGAGGCTGGGAGAGCAGGGACAGCGAGAGGGGGAGAGGGGTGGGCAGGAGCTGGGAAGGGAGATGTGCAGAGGAGGGGTGAGGGGAGGAGAGCTTTGAAGCCCATCGGACCCTGGCTGGGGCTGCCCTGGGTCCACAAGGGTGTTCTGCTCAGTGGCCAGCTTTGCCGGGGCCCCAGCCCTGGTCCCCTAGCAGGGCCTCTGTCCTGGCACTGGGCTGGGGTAGGTCTACCCTCTTGTCTAGCCGCGGGCCTGCTCCAGGCTGCAGATGGGGAACTGACCTTGAGCTGGCGTCTGCAGGGGCTGGGGCTAGGAATCCCAGGCAATACAAGGGACCCTCCTGTGCCCTTGCATCCTAGTCAGGGAGAGGAAGCTTTGGGGGGCGCCCTGATGGTCCCGTGGCTGGGCTGGGCCCGCCTCCGGCCTCCCAGCAGCCCGGTGAGCAGGGGACTGCCCCCCACTACAGAACAGAGTGCCATCGTCTAGCTCTTACAAAAGGATGCCCAAGAGTCACCAGCGGGGACCGGCATGCGGGGTCACTAGCCTTGTCCCCATAGCCAGGCCTCGCAGGCTGGGAAGAGTCTGTGCTGCCCTGGGAAGAGCTCAGGGCTGGAGCTCGCTTGGGAGACCCCGAGAAGGGGGCTAGGAGAGACAGACTCAGGACCGAGTGGGGGGAGGAGGGGGACCGCAGCCCTGCCTCCTTAAAGTCAGTTCTACTTGTCAGAGCTCCCCTCTAGCTCCGGCTCACCGGAGGCAGCCGCCACCAGACCCTGCGGCCTCCCCACCCGATGGGAGGCAGGCCCAGAGAGGGACGGAGACTTGCCCCAGGTCACACAGCCCAGGCCGGCGCGGCAGAGCCTTCCCCGAGGGGAGGGGCTGCAGGAAGATTTATTTGAAGAACTCTAATGTTTTTAGATAAACTGAGAATCATTAGGTATTTCTTATGCTCTCCTATTTTTCTTAGGGACCACTCTTAGAAACTGCATGTGGGGCCGGAGGCCCGTTAACCTCACCCAGCC